GGGGTGTCGGTTGGCTCGTTGTCGGAGGAGTCCCCCGCCGGACGCCGTTCGGCGGGGGCGAGGCGGGGGCGGCTCGGAGCGCGGAGCAGCCGGCCCGCGGCGGGGGGGAGATGACAAAGCAGAGCCTGTGCCCGGGTGCGGGTTGGACCCCGGCGGGAGCACGGCCTCGGGGAGGGACACAGAGGGGGTTTGGGGGTCTCCCCAGCTCCCGGGGGGGTGACGCCGGCACCGGGGAGCCCGCTGTGGGAGAGGGGGTGCGGAGCGGCGCGGAGGCGGTTCTGTGGCGGCACCTGGGTAGCTCCGTGTCGGCGGAGCTGGCGGCGGCTGGGTGCCGCGCTCGGTCCGTCCTGTGCTGCTCTCGGCGTGCACCTCAGAACTTCTTAAGTTTTTTTTTTAAAAAAAAAAAAATTAAAAAAAAATTTGTTGAATGGTGCTCCGTAGGTGCGCGTTTTCTGCCCTTTTTCTTCTCGCTTTGAAATTCTTGGAGGGAATCCAAGAATCATCGCTTGCCTCGCAATGAAATTACCGTCTTTTGGCACGAGTTAAATAACAACTGTCTGGAGAGCGATCTTGTCTCACAGGTGATGTGCGGATCGTATATGAAGGGCATTACTGATTGTCAGCCTCTACGGCATCGGGTTTGGTCCAGGCGTTACAGCCCTCAGTGTAGTTACTTCATTAACGACTGCTTTTAATTTTGGCCCCTGTCTGTCGCTAACACCCCTTTTTTTCTCGTTTCTTTATTTTTTAATTTCAGTAATAGTGTTAAGCCTCCTTTTTTCTAACTCTTCCATGCACACAGTTCTCTCGAACTGCAGCCAGTGTGCTAGGGTTTAAAAAAATAAAAAGGCAAAGCGAATAATACAAAATAAAACTTCAGATTGTGCTGGCTGGATGGGTTTTGTGTGTAGTCGTAGCCCGGGTGAGTACTGTTGAAGAACATGCACTTGTCTGATATTGCTGCTGATAACTGAAAGGAAAATAATTTAGAGATTTAGTAATTGAAAATACAGTAAAAATTTACAGGGAGCTTTCAATAAACTTTGTTATTTGTTTATGTTTTATACCAAGGAGCAATAGTTAATGAATAACAGGAAATATTTGTATTCTTAAATGCAGAAGAAATAATTGTAAATATAGCTTTTGTCACTTTTAAAATAAAAGCTAATTGGATTTTACTTCAATTTTCTTTCTAATGGAGACTTCATCTTTTTATGATAAAGTTTACCTTATTAATATAGCTGGTTCCTAGGCTGTATGTTCAGCATCCAAAGTCTGTATCAAACAGTGTATGCTTATATTTCTGTGGGACTCTTCTGTGAGTAAAGGAACTTTCCGAGCCTGTTGCATGACACTGGGCCTCATAAATCAGTAGCATCTATTGCTATTAATTTAAAAACTTTTTTTTTTGGCTGTATATTTATCCTTTCTTTGTGAATAGTGTTTGTTAGTCTCAATAGCTTACTACATCATTTCTGTACTGTTATTCAGAATGGGCTACTGGTGAGTTAGAATCATGTTCCTTCAGAAACGAGCATTTTTGTCTCACATGCTATTGAATTGGTATTGATAATGCATTGAATACACAGAAGTTTGAATAGTGCTTTTTTGGTGGAAATTAAGATGGAGAAGTTGACATTTAGGGACTGTAACTTTCCTGGTTATACTACTTTTCTATTGAATCAAGGAATCCTTAGGATTCCCTCCTGAAAGGTTCGTGGGTTTCCACAGTCTGTTTTGAAATTATTTTGACTACTATGTATCCTGAAGATTACTTTTTTGAATGTTTATTCTGGTGGGGTCTGTCACCACTGGTGACTTATGTTGTTTAGTTATAATCCTGTTAGGTACTGCAGATGTTGGGTATGTGTTACCAGTTAGATTTTGCTACTTACCACCAATGTTGGGGAATGCTTCTTCTGAAGTATTCCAGATCCTTCCATCATACAATAGGACTTCTGCATGGCAGCAGATTTTGATGCTACTGGCATTGGTCCTACAGCTTTGATTGCCATTCAGAGATACTTTTGAAGGTGGGGGGGGGAGGGAAGGTGAAGAATGACATCAGAGTGCAGTGAATTTACAGTACAGCTCATTCAGAAACCTGAATATAGGGTTTAGCTTAATCCTAGGGGAACCATTTCGTAATTCTTCCTAAAAGAACCCAACCCACAAATATGTAAATTAATTCAGCTTAATCTCTGTAAATGGGGGAGATGAGGAAATGGAATAGAACAGGTATTGCTTAACAAGATGGACTTAAAAAACTATCAGGATAATTGTCAAGTTCCTGTAAGATGCAGGGACCTGCATCTAGACAGAGATATTTAATTCGGAAGTGCTGCCTCCCTGTCTGAACATACCAAGGACTGGAGAGAAAATGTGTGTGTAGGAAGTGGACAGTCTTGACTAATGTTGTGAGCATCTCACGAGAACAGTACGACTTTGCTAGATCCTTGTGCAGTCAGTGCTCTTCCTGTCCAGCACTATTCTTCAGGTATGCTGATATACCAGATTTTAATAACCCAGATCAAATGCTGATGGTAGAGGTAACCAGAGAATGAAATAAATAGTAGTGATGTGATCCGCTTAGCTGGTAGGAGGCAGACTTTTAACTGCTGTAATAGAGACAGAGCAGAGATCGGATTTGATTCCAGTCTCCTGTGCACATCGTTGTTACTGTTACTTAATTTCTTAAATGTTTTCTGTATGATGTGTTTTCCTTTAGGGGACTGCAGATTCAATGCCTTAAGTTTTGGAGGGGGGTTGGTGTTTGCTTTTCAACCAGGAGAAAATGAAGAGGATTGATTTGAAGCAATAATGTTCTTGAATTGCAGCACACTGGTGGAACAATAGTATCTGTGTTTGACCTCCTCAGGACACTGCAGGCTTCCAGGCACTGCCACCTTTCTGAAACAATGGATGATTCCTTCAAAATCAAAATATTTGTCTGTGTGCGCAGATATAATAAAAATATTTCCTGTCACTTCAGGGAATTTCTTATCTTGTACCTTCTGCTGCTGGAGCATTCCACAGGTGTCAGGTCAGAACCTGTTCCCAGGAAGATCTCAGCATCCAGCAAAAATACGTAACTGGACTGCTTTTACAGAGTTTTGAAATGTTTTTAATATCCAAAGTGTTCAGAATATTTTCTGTGAATGTTGCTGCTTAAATCTAACAAATAGCTTGAAAAAAGCACAGGTAACTAGCTCACAAGGGCAGCTTTTTTGAACTGTGCTCAAGTTTATTGGTATTTTGAAAGAACTGTTTAGTGTTTGACTGTCTCTAACCACAACTTTAAGACATTTTTAATCTGTTTAGCTTAACAGCCTGAAAACCTTCTGTTTATTTTTTATATTTTAATTGTGTTGACATCTATGAATCTGAATAAATTTTTAGCCAGGGAAGAAAAGCTAAGGAATATATTTTTTCATGAGACCTTACCCTCTTTTTCTGATATTTATTTCAGTTTTGCGTTCCCTAACCTTTTTTTTTTGCTCCTAGTTTTTTTACTTAGAAAAGAATGCAAACTTCTTGTGGTACATTTTGAAGAATTTCTTCCTATAATGCACATGAAATTCATAGTCATTGGTAGCAAAGATACTGCTTTGTGAATGCCTTGTCCCAGTTCACTGATGCTCACAAGGTTTGCATAAGCCTGGAGGTTTTGTATGATTTTTTTTTTTAACCCCCCTCTCCTACAAGACTGAGGACGGTACAGCTGTGCCGTTAGTGTCTGTTTTAAATAAAAGGCTGTGTAACTTGCAAGGAGATGTTAGATAGGCTTACGGAAATGGCCTTAACTTGTAGCTAGGAGTGAACACTTACTGACAAGTAGGTGCTCAGCAGACCTCCTTCACATGCTTCAGGGATTACATATCTTCTCACCTAGCGTGCTTGGAGATGCTGAGAGTTGTAGTTGCCATCTTCCTGGGTATTTGTTTCAAAGTACTTTTCAGTGGTTTCTTTTTGAAATCTGATCATTGCTTTCTGCAGCTGGGTTAGCAGATACATCTTCAACACAAGAGGGTCTTGCTTCCTGTTAAGGTGTTTCTGCAATGGTGCTCTCTGACCAGAAATAAGGATAAGGGATAGGTGGAATGGCTGGTAATTGGAGAAGGCTTGCTTCTGTGTTTGTGCATTGTGCCGTTCTCTAACTTTTTAAGGCTGTTCTTACTGAACTACTTTTAAGAAAGAAGCCATAGGTAGTAATAATAGTTGCTAATAATAATTGTTCAAGGACTTTGAAGAAAAGATAGGTATGCTAATTTAAGAAAGGCTTAAAACAAGCGATAGTAAATGGATATCTTGGAAGAAGTTCGCATAAAAGCAAGGCAGGGGAGAGAGAGAGAGAATTCCCTGAGGATCAAGAGAAATCCCCAAAAGTATAAAAGTGAGAGCCAATGGCAAAAAAAATAATCAAGTGACCTCTAGGAGTTTCTGCATTACTTAGCACAAGGAGAAGTGTTTTAAAAAAAATCGTAGGTGAGGGTTGAACATTAAAAGCTGCACATAAGGTAATTCTTAGCAGTGCTGTCAGCGTTGCTTAGCGGCAGAACTGACTCAAAGAAGTAAAAGATGGGAAATAGAGTAGGAAATAGTCAATACTATATTTTTTTTTTTTGAAGAGAAGAAACATGTTTGTAGGAATTTTTATAGGGGAAAATTGATGGTAAGCAGAAAAATAGGAAGGGGTCTTTAAAGACTAATAGGAGTTTAAAGTTTAGAAGAATGCAAGATAGTAAAAAAAATGACAGTTAACTATGTTTAACATATTGTAAAGAGTGTTTTTAAAGGTGGGTCAGTAGAATGAGATGCAGGAAAAGGGAGAACTATTTTAAGCAGTGTTTTGATGGATG